AGAATTATTTGGATAAAATGAACAAACTGGCGTCAAGTCATATAAAAGAAGGGAATGTTTACTCAAAACCGCGGCGTAGTTTAATACTGAAATCTTTGTACAATCAGCTATGATAAAATTAAAAACAAAACAAGTAAAAACGAACTAAGAACCAAGTTTTTAACAAATAAAAGCAAAGAAATAAAGTTAAATGTAGAGAACGAGACAATATCCACTACGAACAGTTCGATAGTGTCCGACCAAAAACAAGTGGAACAACTTGCAGCCAAAGCAACGAATAAACAAACATTTGAGAAAAACTAATTWACAACGAGTAAACAAATTAACAGGTGAACACGAAATATTGATGAAAGTAGAAGCAGTGGAAATAAGATAGAAAGAGTGTAAACAAAAGGAACTGAAAGAAAAGGAAATCTCATATCCACCTGAAAGAACCCCGGAATAGGTTATTGTTCTGCCATTTTCTCCGAGTTCTTTTTTATTTTCTCTATTTTCATTTATWTATTCCGTTTATGATTTCAGGTTCGAACCTATCTTCCAGACTCGGGACGACTTTCTTCAGTTTTGTCGGGTCATTACCACGAAGTCACGTGTCTAAATGTTCAGGACTCTCCCCCAGCCCAYCTCATCACAGGGAGTTTTGACAGGCGTGTTCGTATKTATGATCTGCGTAGTGAGAACATCGTTTTAAATCTTCATGGACATGAGGACTTCGTAACTGCCGTTCAGATGGACGACTTTAAGGTGGTCAGCGGTGCGCACAACGGAGAAGTGTGCGTCTGGGATCAAAGAACTTCAGCAGTTTTATGGCGCACGCATGCGCGTCATCCCGTTCGACTTTGCCGTTTTGACGGTGCTCGTTTGATAACAGCAAATATTCCAAATGACAGAACTCCAYGTTCAAATCTCTGGTATGCCGATGATTTGATATTTCATCGCAGAAGTCGAGGATCTTTGCGCTCGTTTGATTTTTCCTCAGACAATGTAACTCAAGGGGTACCGGGTATTTGTTCTTCTGGTTATGACGATACATCGGGATATAATTATAATATTGCCTTGGTGACGCCGTATGATGACATAAATGAATAACCGTATACCGGGGATTTGTTCGACTGATTATGATGAYACATAGGGAAATAATTCTAGATCTAATTGATAATGGCTCAAAAAGGCTTGGGCCAGATGATGAACATTTTAAATCCCCATAACGTACTGATGTTTTATTCATCAGTTCTATATAAGATATATGTAAAGAAATCTCAGCCTGGTCGGAAATTAATTTTTCCGAATCTCGTTCTCCCATGTGGGATCAAAATGTTAGCGAATGTACCACAAAATGCACATGCTTTGTAGAGGTTTATGATGCATACTTACTGATTTTCATATTTTTCACTTTTTTCTATAATTATCATACTATCTTGCTGTTGGAGTTCTAGACGTTCTTTTATCGGCTATGTAGATTCTCGCCTACTACAGTAGCTGTTCGAATCTATTCTAATAACACGCACACAAAATAAAAATACGCACTCTCCGCTTTATAAACAAGTTTGCTTTGGTGGTTATACTTTATGATGACATAAACAGTACCTATTCCTATCCCTTACTACCAGAATGCACTGCGCATTTCTTTGTTATCCAGATATTGAATATAAAGTAAATATACAGTCAATCCAAGTCAATCCATTAATGTTGTTTACTTGTAAAATGTAAAGACAACGACAAATTCATTTGCATACAAAGGTTCTTTCATATTCGCAGGAAGAATTGTACTTCTGAACTTTAGATAAATAGTACATTCGAAATATTTTCGACATTRTACCAAAGACGTTTTGGGACTTTATTATGATTGAATATTCTTACTTTATTGTTATCTTTTAAACTGAACAATGTTAATGGGATTGACTATTATTTTTCAGCACGAAAGATAGTTTGAAAAGCATCCTGGTATATGTAGTAGTGACGTCATCGTGCCTATTCGGCCGCCATTTTATTATGACTTCCATAATTTTGAAAGAAAGTGTTTGATGCCAACACTTACCAACTAGAAAGTTCTATTATTTGTTATAAAAGTATATAATTATCAGTAATTAAGTCCGTGTTGAACAAACAGATGCACTAGAGCAATAAAAGTCATTTTGCAGTACAATTCTACATGATGATTTGTATTTTTGTCCCTTGGGCATCACGTGATTTCGACATTATTGACGATGGACCATCTAAACTGGAAGTGGGTTTCTCTGAGCCAGGCATGGCTGTACTTATCCAGTTTATCCCTAAGCCTGATTGAGAGAGCCTTAAATCCTCGGCTTTCAGTCTAACTGATACGAAATGCCAGTTTTTACTATGAAGCAACACATAATATTGTTTGGCACGTCGTTGCTACGTTACGCACACGCGTTACTCTTGGAGCTATAAAAGTGGCCCAGGCATGGCTYAGCTATCATATTCAAATATTTCTTTTCTGCCTTTGAGTGCTGCATCTTCTGGTACACCATTACGAAAATCTGAGAAGTTCTATTGATTATTCAAGTATCCCTTGTAAAATCAAAATATCGCAAATGGCATATTAGTGTTTTCAGTGCTGCCTTCCTGATTTACACAAATCGCTCTTTTTAGTCTATTTTATTCTAATTTTGATCACAGTTTGTCGCCCATGTTAAAGAGCTTTTGTTTGACTTGTTTGGCTCATTTAGCCTGTGAAGAGCGAAAATGATCGCCATAATGTATCTATTGTAAAACTACTTAGCGAGTCCAGTCTTATCGACGTCTTACATAAGTGTCTTCAATAGAAGTCAGCCTCCTCTTTTTACATAGTGACAATGACAGGTCTTACCCTACTAACGATACCATTAAAACATGTCAATTGTTTTCAATCACGTTGTAAAAAATGCATTAAACCTAGGCTGACGTGAAGGCGATTATTGAGATATCTGAGTGTTTGTGTAGCTAATAGAACCTTTCGTTCATGTAATGATACCCTCAGGAGTATCACCTCGGTGTCTAAGTCGTCTGAGTGATCAATTAAGGCCCCTCTTTACCCTGCCACGACTCTTAGTTTGTTTTCACAGTCTAATAATGGAACTCGCCAAGTAAAACAGCATGATTTCTGTTCGTCTTTTATGATTTTATGTACACTATATTGTTTACAACTAATGATAACTTAGTAACTTTGTGTTCTTCCTGATTTATGCAGGAGTTTTTGTATCCTTTTTTTGGCACTTGCCTAAGTAAAACAGCATGATTTCATTGTGTTCTTCCTTGTTTATGTAGCACATAGTTGGTTCTCGCTAGGTAAAACTGCCGTTGAACGGCAGGGTTTCTGGATGCCGTCTTTATTTGATATGCTTTTATACATACTATGTCATGTTTAGAAACCAATGATGACTTTGGTTTGTCGGTTCTTTCCGTGTTTATCTGGTATAGTTATTTGTGTTTTGATAGTCATTAGCCATCGCGTATCGCTCCGGAATCTTCTGGTTAAATATCTGTTAATGGCCGCTCGACTAGTGCCCTGAAGATGATGTTGAAATGTAGGCTTTCTTTTTCATCTTTTTTTTTATTTTAATTTATTCGAAAGATAAAGGACATAAATGATGTCAAGAAGTGAAAGTGTAATATAAATGAATAAGAAAATGAGAAAAATTAGAAAATTGAAGAAAAGAATTCTAAAAAAAACACACGCAAAAAAGAAGGGAAAAAACACAAGAGATCAAAATAAACTGCAACAGAGAAAAACAATCAAATCAAGAAAAGAAAGATACAAAAAAACAGACTTCAGCAAGTTTCTCTTTCTAAATATTTATTTAACATATGCTAAGACCACAATGTTATTTAAAACATGAGAGAGAATGAGAGAACGAAACTTTTTGTACAGCAATCAGTACAAAGATAGGAACAAACGACTGCAAAAAGGAGAAGAAAATGGCATAAAATAACAATAAAAGAATGAAAACCGGAAATGGGATTTAGAAAAAATGAAAAAAACCGAGATAAATAAGGGCGAAAATGAATGACAAAGATTGTCGTTTCACAACATCACTAGTCCTCCACTTTCTTACAGAGAAAACAGCAGACCCGATACAAAGCAAGGTTAAAAACCCCTTAAGGCACAAGTAGCACTCTTAAGCTGAGCCACGATACCATCAACGCCACATAACAAATCTCAATGTCACTCAACCAGTCTTATCTCACCAGATTTTATCAGAAACTTCTCACTTAAAACCACCAACTCTCAACAGTTAACGAGTTCTGTTTTTAAGGCATTTGAAAACTGATAAAACGTTTCTTGATCAAAGACCTGATAGCTTTTCGAATTGTTAAGTAACAATTAACATATGAATGACTAAAAAAACAATTCGAGAAAACGTTTCGACCAGCTTTCGTGAAAAAGGAAACTTCCAAAAAGATCATTAAGGAAATCTCAAAAAAAAACTTGCTCTCGGCGTGATATCAATTGATGTTTTTTAGTGACAACAAATTAAATGAAGAAAAAACATACTTAGAGCGGTTTAGATCCATTACCAGTGCTCGGTGATGCTATTCGGAGTCACAATRACAGCTGAAAGGTGAACAAGTTACAGAAGAAGAAAACAAGAGTGTAAAAAAGATAGGTTTTGTTATTGCTCTTTCTTAAATACAAAAATAACACCGTAGAAAATCGTCCATTATGCATTTCTTGAAGTGTTTTCATGATCAAACAAGAGCTCATTGAGGATCATATTTGGTAGGTTCTTGAGTTACCGTCGCTTCCGGCAGGTGAATTATGTCGTAGAATGGCGGGAAAACCTCTGCATGTTTCAATTGAATAAGTTTGTCAAACAAGAGCTCGAGAAATGAAGACTGGTTTTTAATCTGTTTCAAAGGACACATATYACATCAATATTTCAATTTCTTTTCTGAGTCCGAGCTTGCATTGTGATGTTAAATATATAGTCAACAGTATGAGATCCTTTCACGCGTTTAAGCAGAACTAAGGACTGAACGACAAAGAGACAAAAAACAACAACTGTGAGAGAATAAAGGAATGACTGAGAAACAGGAAGAAAGAGAGATAGGAGGAAAAGAAAGGAACTAATTGAACAAATTAAAACGGAAGCAATTTGAATAACAAAAAACTGGAAATGGAAGGAAAATAGAAGCAAAGGAAAGGATAAAAATGATAAAGCTAAGGTCATAATAAAGTTTTGCGTGAAAATAGAACAGTTCGTCAAAATGTATATTTTTCCGCCGCGTTGTCATTGTAGTCTTTTTATAACAGAACTGTTTTTAGAAATAAAATATAAACAGATCGCTCATTACAGCTCACAGTAGAGTCAGTTTGACTCCGTTTGAATTCTCCATATGTATATCAAAGCATTGAGCGGTCCTGGAGATCCCTAACTACATTAATACTACATATCTAAAGCCACCGACGTATAAAATATTAATTGACAACCCTTGAGCAAGGTCATACCGTCTTAAAAGACCAACTAATGTGACTAATGGTAGCTCAAACTCGACCACGGTATGCCGCCACAGCTTAGTGGACAAGTTATTTGTAAACTTCCACACGAATTTAGGCTATCCTTTTAGTCACATAGTGACGGTCTATTTGAAGGCTTTATGCAGGATCTTGACAACGCACCTCCGGCGAATGTTTTAGTGAATCGGACTGTGACTTTTAAAGCCAACACAAGGCTGGCGTTGATATTATATAGCTCTTGTAGTGGGGAAAAAATCTCATACAAACCTTTTAGAAGCTATAAYCTTACTTTTGTTTGAGATCAAACGCCCGCAGTGCACATGCAAAGCGGTGTTCCGAAACAGGTGCTCTGATATCGTTTTTACTTTAATTCTTGCAACTCGAAAAAATCTAGCTTTACTTATTATTCTAGCAAATAAATGAATGGTTTGAGCAACTGTATAAGATCTTTACTATGYTATTGGTAACTTTACTATACTATTGGTGACTTATTAACTGCACATACCGAATCATCGGATATGATGTCATTCGTCAGACATCAATGATTCATGTCCAAAGAGAAAAACAACTTTTGTTTACGGAATTAGTCACCAAGATTCAGAAATTTTCCTTTTTTTAAGCTCTAGARTAATAAGAAAATCGGKTTCATGTCAAGACGTTTTCATAGATGGCGAGTCCAAGAGCAGGTAGTTAGTATAGTCAATGTGATCAGGTGCCAAAAAAGAGTTTAAATAGCTGTTAAAGAGAAATTACACGTCAAATATAGAAGACGAGAATAAGATGAAGTATTTTGACTTTTCTCGACTTGATTTTTTTTTTTTCGTATGAGGCAGCTTGGCGYTTGCTATCCAACACGCGTGTAATGACTAATGTCGATGCAAATCGTTGTGCAATTAACCTCGGAGTGTTTAAATGAAAGCGTCGACTCTTTCCCGGTGTTTGAAATTCTTAACGGAAAGAAAAACTCGACTAAAGGCGATGTTCAGATAAAGTGACAGATGGCACTTTGCAGCGAGCTTTTTTGTTTGATTTTTGGGCGCAGGTCATTGTCATGACACTTATAGAGAGAGAGAATAGATGCATAGTGGGAGAGCACTTTGCCTTCACGTCACCTCTAACGAACGGCCATTCTTCCCAAAAAAGCAAATGTAAATAAACAGTCGGACGTCGATATGTTTTGACATACTGAACCAGAAACAACACAGTATTTACTCCGAGATAAAAGTAAATCATTGTGCCAAAGCTTTCCGCATGATTCGGTATCTTTCAGCGGTCGAGAATGTCCTACAGCCAAACACCCTCGAGCGAAGCGCAAGCGCTTTCGGAAAAGACTTAAAGAAACAATTGCTGGAACAATGGACTTCAAATTGCGCGATTTCCCTCGTTTCYATAATCCACAAAAACACAATAGGTCACTAAGGGATGGTTTTACTGAACAAAAGCGCTCAATGTCACTGGCGTCTTGTACAGACTTGTCACGTTCAATTGTCAATATTCAAGTTGACAGGCGGAGTCGTAAACACAAAGCTCCACTGCGCAACGTCGTGAAAAACTTGATGTTGTTGTTCTACAACGCTAATTGGACTGTAACTGAACGATCKTASTGATSACCCAATAAGACGTGCCATTCGCGCCTATCACTGTCAATCACCACACAACTAATAAAAATAAGATATCATTTTATAATTGACAAATATAAACTATAGTTGAGGTTTTTTCATGAAAGGGAACAGGAAAAGCAGCTGCCGTAGACGAGGCGAGAACCACCCACCGACCGACGCACTGTCAGCACGCATAAATTTCACGCAAGACACGAATATTGAACACAATCTGTTCAGAAGCCGGGGAGGGGAGACTGGTGAAGTATAAAGGTCYTCAAACAAGAACTTCAAATTTACGTTACGAGTGAAGAAAGACCGAGCTTCGACATGGTACAGCAATGCGCGGGCTGCGAGCTTCCCATTGCTGATAAATTTCTTTTCAAAGTTTTAGATCGAGTTTGGCATGCCAGTTGTGTTCAGTGTAACGACTGCAAGTGCTCCTTGAGTGAACGGTGTTTTTCTCGCGACGGTAAACTGTTTTGTAGAGATGATTTTTACAGGTGAGTTAAGTAGTTAACTGGGATCGTAGTAAACCACGATACGCCGTGTAATATTGACTAGTGTTTAAGTGTCATCAGACTACGATACTGATAAATCACTTGTTTTTTTAAACAGACGTTATGGAACTAAGTGTTCTGGATGTGAGCAGGGAATTTCACCAAACGATTTAGTCAGACGAGCCAAGCATTTGGTTTTCCATGTCGAATGCTTTGTGTGCTCATCTTGTAAGCGACAGATTTCAACTGGAGATGAGTTATACTATATAGGAGATGGAAGTTTCATTTGCAAAGACGATTACTATCAACATTACCAGCAACACAACATTACAGGTCAGTCACTTGGAACCCGAARTGTACATGCTTAATATCAAGTTGTTTATCAATTTCCAACCTCTATTTATTCTTAATAAGTGTATTTTTCTCACTTAGTTATTGTATGAATTATTTGTAGATGTTGACGACGATCCGAAGGACTTAAGTTACGGTTTAGACGAGGATTTGGATACCGCTCTTTCAAGCAAGCGCCGAGGACCTAGAACAACTATCAAGGCAAAGCAACTAGAAGCACTCCGCGCAACCTTCGCCGCAACGCCAAAGCCCTCAAGGAATATAAGAGAGAAATTGGCACAGGAAACGGGGCTAAATATGAGGGTAATTCAAGTCTGGTTCCAAAACAGAAGATCTAAAGAGAGACGTTTAAAGCAATCTGGTGGTCAAACACAAACCCCTCGATCCAACAGATCGTCGAGAAGATCAAGAAACTCAAGATTAGAGAGTCAAGAAGAAACGAATGAAAACGACGTAGATTTAAAGTCACCTAGCACGCCTCAATTAGGCTTTCGTTCACAGGGTAAGAGTGGCGAATTATCTCTGGACGTTTCTGACAATACTATAATATGTTGATGAGTGTGGTTARTGCTATACGTTTTTTAGTCAGCCTTCTTGTCGCCTAAGCATATCGCTGTCATAAAGTCATCCATGTTACACTTGTAACCGCACAGCAAACATTGTCATCCGTTTTTTGACCATTTAAATGCAGGCACTTAGATTGTTTGACCAGTCTTCAAAACACTTGTGCTGTATTGATCAAGTGTTCGCGTGTCGGCAAGTACTCACAAAGGGTCTTAGCATAGTTGCTTAGCAAATGGGTTTTCTCAGAGCGAGAGTACAGCTCTCCCCACGTGCAACAGTATGTTTTTTTTCGAAATGCTAAGTAGTTTTGGYAGACTTCGTATATTTTGTGTACGCTTCAAATTAAACAGCCTTTCAATACTAAACGYTGCTGATATATATGTATGTAACCGTAGCAGGAGAATCATAATATTGAGGATTCCTTTTTTGTAGCACAGATTAAGGGTTTGCTATCTCTATAACGAGTTAATTTCTAGCTTGCTTGGCATTGCTCGTAGTTTAGATCAAAACCACATAAAGAGTTATTTTCAAATTACTTGGAGTTGCATTTGATCTCTGGCTAATCGCGGTTTTTTAACAAGAGGATGTCCATCAACAGCTGCTTCTGCGATCGTCCTTTTTGCATAACTTACTAGTCTTTTGCGGTTTCGAATTGACTCCTTTTCTTACAGTTTCGCTCCTTTTCTCACCGGCAGGTATTTTCAGCATGTTTGCTTTCAACCCTTGTCAGGTTTTTACTAGCAGAGAGTTTCTCTTTCGTGCGATATACATACACTTTCGAGCTCACTGAATAATCAAAGTGAACAGTTGTCATACTATACTGAATCAGATCACTTCACGTATAGTCTCTTTAAGTATATAGGATTGTTCTCTTTCAAGAGCGTGAAGCTTTTCTCAAATGCCACTTTCCGCGAGCTTTTCGTTGTTTTATGAATATCACAAGTAGCTCAGATCACTCGATATGCATTATGCAAGCTGGTACTGACTGAGACACGAAGTCGCGAACGAATCTGAAAAGGCTTCTCATGTCATTTCTGTCCTATAACATTAAACGTTCTCTCAAAAGGAAAAAAAAATCAGGAAAGTAAGGGACATAAAAGCAAATTCAAGGAATGATTAAATATTGGATGTTTTTTTTCGTTCATCAAATTCTCCACTACAATCGAAAGCAGATAAAATTTGACTGACAGATATTGCATGCTTTAGTCATAGTTTACTCGTCAGGAATAAGTGGATTCGCAATCAATAAATCAGTCTCAATTCACTTCCAATTTCCCAATCGACATTCTTGGGAAATTGTAACTTTCCGTTCATCATGTTCACCGTCCGTCTCAKCTTCTCGTCCTGATGTACGCAACAACAAAAAAAATCACAGTTTTTGAAAAGCGCTTTGCATTTATTATCTTCTAAATTATTCGCAAAGAACTAAAAAATGGTTCAAAAATTGACGACAATTTCAAGGTAATTTTCACGAAAAAATAATTATGACACTATTTCCCATGTTTGTACGTTTTTGAGATTTCCTTCTATTTGTATTATTTTCTATTGTTTTGAAAGTTTAAAGAGGCCGAAATATTTCCTCAAAATTTATGTTTATATTCCAGGGTAAATTTTGTAGGTAAATGTTTTGAGGAAATCACAATCAGATAGTGTTGTTGGACTGAGTATTTGTGATTTAAGATTTGATATTGGGTTTAACTTGGGATAAGGAGGGTGGAATCAGCTACAGTGACCATAACTAATTTTTATTTACAGACCCTTTCTAATAATGGCTAAATAGTTGACGCTATTTAGGCCCATAACATCTATTCCTTCGCGGAAAACGAGCGCTTCCGCCGTAAATTGTTCTTCAAAACATATGTTATTCCCAACGAATTGCCCAATAAGCGGAAAGTCATTTTTGTGGAGTTTGTTGGCAAACAATACACGGTCAAAAATCAATGAAAGTAAAATATTTTTGTAGGGAGAATCGAGCAGGACATGATGTCGACTTACTCGCTTAAAATCCGACATCAATGACCAATATATCGTATCGCTTGATGATCAAACTTGCAAAACTAGAAATCTAAATTGGCCAGCGCATTTGGAAGGTTAAGTCTACAAAATRTTTTGATCGTGTTTTGCTCTTGATCGCCTCGCTATCTAAACCYTTTTTTTTCTTATCTTTTTAAGTCCCACTGAGMCTTACTTGAAAAGCTCCGTCCATAAAAAGATAAGTAGGGCGGTCAAGTTACGAAATGGAAAATACAAAGTACAAAGAAAATTAAAACATGAGACAGCCTGCTAACGTTGTTATTGCATTTCTTGGTTACAGAKCAGCAGTCTCAACCTCCAAGATATATGTCACCATCGAACTACAGCGATTTCTATTCTCAAAATTCCCCCGTTTCCGAAAGCTTAATGATGAACAACTCACAACTACCACACAGCAATGACTTTGTTTCCCGCCATCGAATCTTCGCAACAACCCACTCAACGATATGACAGAAAATAACCATTTAACGAGCCCTTCTAGACTACTACAGAATCAAAATATCATGGGACACAGCCCTGGAAATAGTACAGGATATGGCGCAACACAAGCTTCCCAGCCACAAGGAACATGCAACTTGATCAACACAAGCCCATCAGAAGTGTGGTAACTAGGAGATCGTACAGCTGTTGAGATGTWCAATCTGGTGAAAGTTGATAAACTAATCAGTGTGTTAGGAGGCCGAAAAGAACAACGTAAAGAATTAATACAGTCGCGGAAAATGCGGTGAATTTTTGTGTCTACTGTGCCTTGAGCATCTATAGATCTCTCAAGACTGTGCGCAAAACCGCAGATTCTATGACAAGACTAGATGACTAGCACCCTGCTAGACGATGTTCTAGCTTGATCGGTAATCTAGTCGACTATCTTGGGAGAGRAAAAACCACTTGATCATATCAGAATCGAGCCAGTATAGAGTAAGAAGCATGTCTCCCCTCAGGGTTCAAAGCCGCCTTCGCTTTGATCTTAACCAACAACAAAGGAATATTCAAAAGAACAATCTTTCATAGGATACCAATAAGTTCTTTTTGTTAAGAAGAATTAGTGTTCTACCAATATGTATATATCAGAGTATCTATATATAGAAAATTAAACGCAAGACAAATTTATTCGAATTTTGAATATGTATAAAATGCATAAAAGTGGTACCGATGCATTTAGTGTTTTATTGATATTTCGGTTATTGCTTGTGTATTCAGCTAGATTGAAACATCAAGTCATTTGGTGATTAGTCGCGTCAAAACGTATTAAAAATGACATATATATAGTTAATACAAGTAGGAACGAATGAGGTGTTAAATACGACGATTCGCTGTGTAAACATTCGACACAAAAGCTGGTTTTTGTGTGTGTGAGGTAGAAAAAAATCTGTCCATGAGAAAATACGGGAGCTTAGATCAAAGCGCTTATTAAGAGTGTACAGTGTAGCAGACGAAACTCCATGGGATATTGGATTTGCCTGTAAGGAATTTCAAAGATCAGTCACTGACTTATCAATTTGTTAGATAAACATAAGCACGTGCAACGTACCTTCTTAAACATAATGGCKGCAAATATAGCGTTGCGCGCTAACATGAATCGTAGTAGAAAAGCGCCTTGTTAAATATTGATTATAATAAACTAAGCGACAGACAAGGATTCATCTATTTATAGGGAATCTTTTTTTCGTTAGAATTCGTGCTTGTTTTTGTCTAAGTATACTGCGGAGACCTCCCGTTGCTTCCTTGAATATGCAACGAACAGTTGTCGTCGCGAAAACAAAAAGCAACATGCAAAACATAGATCTCTCAAGCAGCGAAGAAGATAAAGAATTCCTTGTAAACCCCAAGAAATATCACGGGCAAAGAAAAACTAGTCATAAACAATAGGTTTTTTCTTTTTCTTTTGTGCTTTATTTAAAAAGTCTTACATGAGGCAAACACTCATTCATCCATTTATTCAAGCTTTTCGTTACGCTTCGAGCAAATATTCATGTTTTGTATTCGCTGCCAACCGTTTACAATAGATTTTCACTCATTCTTGATTTTTTATATGGATTTAGAGTCTAAAATTGAGGCAGAATATCAGGAATTTGTCTAGTCGTCGAAATATTTCTAGTACCAGATACCAAAGGATTTTCATATTTTTTTATTAAATTGGTTTGAAGTTACAACGACACAGGAACATAATTCAAAGTTAAATTGAAGGAAAAATGATATTGGTGCCGAGTTATTGCCTAGTCCGATTCATATTTCGATAAAGATGTTTTTAATTCAACTTAAATAACATAACTTACAAAAGAATATATTTSTATCGCAAAAACACAAAACTACTATGAAATTTAGCTGGATTAATGGCYAATTATGACYACCATACATGCCTCACGAAAAATCAAACTCCTTGTGTAAGCATGTTGACAATTCAMCTACGATTAATCTCAGTATTCAAACACATGTCGTCCAGCTGCAGTTTAACCAAACCGTTTTCTCACTGTTATATCGTTTATAAAGGTACTTGCCGGAGAGTGCTGTAAAACCATTTTGTCGAAGAGCTTWTTTAATAAAATAGACAACTAGTCTACTTCTTTAGTTCTGGTTTTGCTGTAATTAATGCGATACAGAGTTCGACAATAGATGCCTTTATAATCGTGATAAGTAGTTCTTTTTATTCTAAATCATTAACAGCTTACACTTGTAAGAACGAGGCGGTTTGTTTGCATGTAAAATCCAGCTTGTTATCATCCATTCAACGATTTTCTCTTGTCMGAGAAATCTTTTAAATCAATCAAACGACCCGCTTATTGTGAAGACAAACCGTTAAAACGCAACAAAAGTTCATTTTAATCATTTTCAAAAGATAAAAAGAAAAATGTCTATATSAATAGTAAACGTGCTTGTCTTTCCTAAGAAAACCAGTATTCAAAATACCGATTGTTGATGAAAAGAAAATAGTCCTAATTACTTTAACCACTCGAAACACTTTGCACTTGAGCATTTCCTCCGATTAATAAGTACTTGCAGAATTGTAATTCTGCGCTTTTTTGATTCTTTTTGGTCGAGTGCTTGGCCTTGCTGTGAATTAGCAATTCAAATGCTAACTCACCCAAACAGGTGAACTTATAATTGTCATTGTGCGATGCCAGTGAAGAGAGGCAGTCAACAAAACATACAAAAAAAATATTCTATTTTCAAAGAGTGTTCCAAGAAACACAAAATAGCTCAAAAGTTATAAAGATAAATTTTGATATCACCAAGGATTGATTTTTGACTGGAAGCGATGAATTTGTTAATAATGCGTTATTTTTGAATGCTATTAATACCTAAAAAGCGTTATACCTTCGGGCAAGACAAATAAATTGTTTATAATCACTAAGGCAAATCTTRCAAGTCAACGTTATAAAATTCTTGTAAATCTAAATTGGATCCAAGTAAATACAGACGGGAAAAGCCTCAATYAATTTTAGTTAGTTTGGCGCCCGAAATTTCGTATCACAAAAGTGTTGTCGACTGTGAGTTATTACTTTTTAACTCCAAAGCGGCGCCGATCAATTATTTAACATCAAATCGTTTCTTTGAGCACCAGGCTAAGATTCAAATGAGCAGCACGAAGCGACTAGAAAGGGCAGCTTGCTATCTAACACACAGTTGGGAAACTTCTTTGAAGCAATTATCAGAAAGTCTTCGCCACAGGGCCTTAGAGGTGGGGTAATCACCTTCACTCGTCTTTTTCTCTCCCAGAACAACTATTAGTACCGGAGACGGATTTTGGGCTTATGACATATAGAAAAGGAGGCGAGACGTTTCTTGTTTGATTAATCTTAGTAAAAATATCCTGACACTTTWATTTTAGCTAAGAGTAAGACTTTTCGTTGAGATAAATGTCTGTAAATCAGTATTAAAACTAAGAGAATTACAGGCAACTAGATTTCTGTGAAAACATTTTTATCATAACGTTTTAATTCTTTCCCTTTTTTACATATATGACAATATATATTTCTTAGAAAAATATAGTCTAGATTTAAGTGTGAATAAGAATATAAAACGATGAAAATAGTGTTCAAAGCATGTGTGTACAAAATTAAAGATGAATGCTGAATCATTGTTTATGTGCAGTTTAACTTTGATATAAAACAATCAACAGAGCTTTAGCATTTTATCATTCAWTGGACAATAAATACATCAGCTCTCATATATAAACTCACACTTAGCACTCTTTACACCGGCGAAGGATTAACGTCCGAAACGTCATGAAAACTTGTTTCACCTACTTTTTTTACGTTAAGTTTTATCTTTTTACACAATTGTTTCGTGAGAAACACCGACGCAGATTATACTATTTTACCGCTAGTTTCCACCTACATAAACGTACCGAAATAATTCCCTTCGACGAATCAAAAAACCGAGGTTATATGAAATAGTACAATAAAAATTCACAAAGTACACAAATTACTCTATATTAATTTTAAACCTGCCTTTGATAAATACTTTGTATATGTGTACCGATGCATATGAAGTCAATGTACCCGCCAATATGCAGTATGTAGTCAATTTTGTAAAAGTCTATCTTTTATACAAGTTACAAGTACATCTACTAGCTTTTTCAAATACGCGGCGTTATGAAAGACAAGTCGTTGTGCAAAACAAATGTACTTATTTCTATGAATTGTATTGTTACTATAAATTATATTTTTGTAACATTCTGCACTCTAATGGCTTTAWTATGATGTTTTTCTCCGGTTTTAGAAAGATACCGAACGCGAAGTGAATACAGGCAATAGGTCATCTTTTTCGCCAACACGCCATGTGTACTCCCATATGGTCTAGTGGTTAGGATCCGGCGCTCTCACCGCCGTGGCCCGGGTTCGATTCCCGGTGTGGGAATATAAGTACTTTTTTTAATCGTTTTTTTAAGGTCAAAATATAATCTTACCGTTTTTTTAGATCAACCTCGCTSATCGTAGAATTATCGCATTGATGATAATTTAAGCGCTCATAAAAAGATCTAAAATAATTATTTTTTTTTTTACAAAAAGCACCCAAAGTTATTGAGCTATCTTAAGGTTAGACTATTTTTGAAAATGAGTAGCCAAAATTCATTAAAAAAAGTAATTAAGRGTCGCTAGATTGTAAACGATAAAATAAATCATTGCTTCTAAGAAAAAATAGTTTGCGCTRTAGTGACTACTACGCATGCGCACTCTGAGTATATTTTTTTGCAGT